ATATATGTGTGATTACTTATGAGTGTTCACATCATGTTGGACACTTTTTCCTAAGAATGAAGTAAAATACTTTTGTTGAATTTCGAGCGCAGCTCGAGCATTAATAGATGCTACTTCCTCGTGCCTCAGATATCTTCATTCGTGCTACACAGAAGACATGAACACTTCCTATGTCACGTGTCGCGAAATATTATTATTAAATGGTTTATTCATTTCTGGAGTAGAAATTTCGAAGTCAATCTCTCTCTCTCTTTTTCTCTCTCTCTCTCGCTCTCTTTTTCGCTCTCTTTCTTCCTTCTTCTCTCTTTTTCTCGCTCTCCCTGTTTATATATATGAATACACGTACATTTTTAAACATTTTCAGTTTCATTTTAGTTTTATATACTTACATTTGTGTTCACATATCTAGTTTGTTACACAGATTTTTGTGTCCTTTTTAACTTTTTCAGTATTTTATAATATTTGCGTTTTCTTTTTTTATAACTAGATTTTTATTCTTGTAACAAGTTTTGCTCTTAATTGTATTTAATTTTAATGATTGAAAGGACACTTTTTTAGATTGCAACAAATCTCCCTTCCTCTCTCTCTCTCTCTCTCTCTCTCTCTCTCTCTCTCTCTCTCTCTCTTCGCAGTCTTTTTCTTTTATTTATAATTATTACTAAACGATTTTTTTGAAAGTATTAAAAAAATATTTCAAGTTTCTTTCTCTCATTTCTTAATCTTTCTTTCCAATTGTTTATAATTCGAGAAAAATCATTTGTATCTCGGCATTTTAATCGAAAACATAAAATTGACAAAATTATCCATCATTCTGCATTTAAAGACTTTTTTAATATAAATTATACTATGACAATAACAAGAAAATTTTAAATTTTACGTATTCTTTCGACTCCACTCTGTGTCCATTTACTATAATTTTCGCAGAACGCCAATTGCACCTTCCGCAGGAATAGGATCGTTCCCTTCACACATCCACGCGCCGGGAAGAAGAGGATGCCACGCGCCGCGTAAAAGCGCCCTACCTATCTCGGTCGCAACTTTCCACGAAACTTGTGGCAGACTCGCGACAAAAGAGAGGGAGAGAACAGACCGTCTAACAGAATCAATTCGGAGTTCTCCTCGCCTCTCTCTCTCTCTCTCCTCATTTCTCTCTCTCTCTCTCTCTCTCTCTCTCTCTCTCTCTCTCTCTCTCTTTTTCGTGTTCAGGATGACTTCACGGATGCTGAATTTAGACCACGGGGGTCGTGGCTGCGCGACCCCAGACGCCGCGACGCCGGCATTGTGCCCCGACGCTAATTTTACAATAGCCGTCTCACCGCCAGACGCGAACGAGAAGAGCACGTGTGGCGGCTGCAGCGACGGCGGCATCTCGACGTTCCTTGCGAACGACGACGACGACAACGACGACGACGATGACGACGATGATAATGATGATGATGATGATGATAATGATGATGATGATGATGATGATGATGATGATGATGATGATGATGATGATGATGATGATGATGATGATGATGATGATGATGATGATGATGATGATGATGATGATGATGATGATGATGATGATGATGATGATGATGATGATGACGATGACAACGACAACGGTGGCGGCGGCGGCGGTGGTGGCGACAGTGACGCTCAGAAGCGAACGGGTTAAGCGTACGTTGTCGACATCGATGCAAAATAGAAGAAAAAAAAGTGCCCCCAACGGTGAGAGGAAGGGTGAAGAAGAGCGGGGGCGGTACAGGATGAGCAGCATCGTCGAAGCGTAAAGTTAACCAGTGTAATTTTCGAAAAGAAAGAAATAGAAGGTGACAGGGAAGATAGGGAGGGAAAAAAGAATTGTATCGAACTGATCAACATTGTGTATGTCTAAATATAACGGCGGAATTCAGTGTATACGTATGCGTGAATAGCATGTATGTATATTGCGTGACTACGAGATTGCCGGCAATTACCGGGTAATTATTTCAATTACGATATGCAACATCCGCCGTGCGGCACGATGTTTTCTATCGGATTAACATTGCCGATCTACATCGATTATGATAAAGAGGGGCTTACGAAGCGATGCTTACATCGGATTAGATCGGCGATGATTTTTGCGACAGTGCGCTCAATGACGCGTCATTGAAAATGGAGCGAAATCGTATCAATCGGTAGGAAATTATTTTGTATGGTCAATGAAAATATTTAACTTGGGATAATTACTGGGATATTTTATATCCCAGTGATGGCGAAAAAATACCAACTATAAAATATTGTTTTACATAGATATTAAAATGAATAAATCATTAACGGCATAAACCACAACGCAAGATGTGCGTAGCGAAAAGTTTTATATTTTAATCATATTACAATTAAAAAAATAATAAAAATAATAATAAAAATAATAAAAAATAATAATGTTTCGATCTTAAATTAGGTTATCTTCAATATTAAATTTTATAATTTCGGAATTACGCTAATAACACAATATCGCAGAATAATATAAAGAGTTTAAAATTAAACCAAGATATAAATTGTTATAAGAAAATTTTTTTCCAATTGATAATGTTCATAATAAGTTGTCTTTGCTGTGTTAGATCTTCAAAGAGAAGATAGTCGGATATTATATCGGATATATAATCTTATTAAATTGTCTATTGTTAAAATTTAATCAGTTTAGTTCTATCGCTAGTCTTCTTTGGTTAGTCACATATAATTTCTAGATTCTATGTGCATAATTTTTATGAGTCCTATCAGGATGTGATGAACTTATGTTAACGAATAAAATATCTGAGACTGTATGTTTATATAGATATTATATAGATATTTTGTATGTTTAACATTTTTTTTCTTTTTTAATATTCTATTCTCTAACAATGTAGATTTTAGAATTTTAGAATTCTTAAATATACAATTTCGAAAACCCGCATTATGTTAATTGAAATTTTCCTTTTTTAGAAATACTTTCAGAAGGTATTCATTTCATTTAATATTTTTTTGGTTTCTACTTACTTTTTTCAGAAAATTATGGTTAAGTCTAATAATATTCTCAAATACTAATCGAAAAATAATCAATAGTATAATTGTTAATAATAGTGATTTTAATTGGGGTAAAAACACGACAGTTAATCATTTATGTAAGAAGAAAATCAGATGACTACTTCCAAGCTACTTAAAAGAGTGTCAAGTATCCTCCGTTATAGATTAGAAGATTGTGTCTCATTACACATCGCATTTTCGTTCGTTTGCGTTCATTCGATATGCCGCGAACATCAATATCAAACTGGATGCAGATGAAATTCTTACAGGTTCTATTACCTGAGCCCGCGAGAAGGCCCGCCTCTCACGTTACTCGTTAGCCCATGCAGCGGTCCGATATCCTGGACGGTCAGTTATGTAGAACCGCCCGAGAATAATCAAGAAGCAGAAGGTACAAAGTATATATGAATCTACTAATAACTGACAGATGTGATAAAGCAAGACATCTTACTGTTTTGTCAATTTAGACCCTTTAAGTCTTAACAATACTTATCATTTTATGCAAATATTAAAAAGTTATTACGAGTATTTAGTTACAGTCTGTTTCGTATATATATATATATATATA